TAATTCTGCACTGAATAGCATTGATAGATTAAGTGTCATTTTTCATTTGTTAAATAAATTTAGTATGAAGGAGCATGGAAGAATCATTAACATACTTCTATAAATATGCGTGTTTGTAGTTTGATATCAATACACAAGCACGGGATTATAGGGCTGTGTGTGCATATATATAGAAAGACAGAGCGAGAGAGAGAGTCAGAGAAACATTTTTCATCTCCTTACAATGAAGCGTTCAACAGTCAAATAACAGGAGTGTTACATACATTAGTTTAGTTTATACAACAAGAAAACTCACCTACAACCTAGCCTTGTATGCTAAAACAAAGCCACGTGGAAAACTACCACAAATTAATTCACTGTTGATTACTTCAGCTCCATGATATCTCCATCAAAATAAATCTTTCTTGCTCCTGATTTACTTTATGCATTTTTGTAGTTTAGGCAGAAAATAAGAAGTGTACCCTGACCTCTGAAGTGTTATATCTAAGTTACTAAACACTAAATCCTTCGAACAGACAACTCAGTGCTCAGACATCTGAGTGCTGAGTGCTGAGGAAAATAAGTTTAAAGCTCATATTAAAATACCGTTCTCTTAACAGCTTTCTGTCTCTACAGCTTCCAGGGACCAGCGCAGTGACCATCACGAACACCACAACATGTATGGTACAATACACGAAACAGGATGAATTAAGAAATTAAATTAGTTGCTGTTTGTTTACAGCCGAGTATACACGAAGATTTGCTGCCACCTATACACTCTTCTGAGCTAACTGAAAAAAATAAGGAATTCTTAAATTAAGACATACATTTATAGTCACAATTGCTACTCAGTAAGTATGCAAAGTGGAAGGCACACTGTACTGTCTTCATGGAACAACTCACACCGACATGGAGCAGAATGTAATGATGGCATAGGGAGCTATCTGTGATCCAATAGCACATAAGTTTCTGTCCCCTCGTAAAACAAGAAAGAAAATAAACCCTTTGCTTCTAATTATTTGCAATCCTTATGCTCTTTTTTTTTTTTTTGGAGAACTCGCATGTTACATTGATAGGTACTATACAGATAAACGGAGAAGACGCAGGGGAAAATTTGTTGTTCACCTCTATCTTTAAAGCTATGCGGTGCACTCATTATGTGACAGTAAACACAATTATGCCTGCAAGGGGATCCACATTAAGCCTGGAGCATATTGAAAAAAATAGCAAGTGGTTTCCTATAAAAAGCCAGTATTTTATCACAATTATGAGTAATTAGGTAATAACTGCAGTTGGCTTTTAATATTTATTAAATGTTTGTTTTTTAAAACATCATTAAAGATACCTCAACTTGAAAGCAGATGCTGTTTAATAAAAAAACTAAGACTCCAACTGTATTATTAGTCTCTAACTGATTTCACTAAATTCATTCCACTTTTCTAAGAAGAAATAAGGAATTTCAGCAACAGCATTTAAGCAAATGAATTTGCCTTTTTTTAACGTATCTGTGTTGGAGATACGCAGATGTGTTGCTCTGCCATTTTGGAAAGCTTAACGTTAACTTCTGAATTCCTAAGCCCTCTTTGTAGGGAAGCAGTTATTTAAGTCATCACAGAAATCCAAATGCCCTCTCACTGTCAAGAAAGCAAAATGTTATCTATTAGAACAAGACAGAACCACCAATTCTTATTTAGGACAAACGCGCATGTGAACTATTGAACTCGAGAGGTCTTATTTTATGTCAATGCAGTCACATCAGAATATCAAGTTATAGGGCTATCCTCTGGATATACCTATCTCCTTCCCCTCCCCGCCCCCCACTTCATGCTGTAGCTAAGAATTATGGACGGTTGACGGAATAAGAAGCACAACGCTGCGTTCATCATTTCTTCTCTCAAACTGTGTGAGTCAAAATACAGCGGGATCTGCACTTCACCAGGGCACTTTTATAGCTAGGTATTTCTGCCCACTCCATTTTCAGGCATTTATTCAGTGATACTCAGTCTGTCTTTCGAAGCACGGCAGCGGTTTGGCTTTATTTTATTTTTTGTCTCGTATGTAGACAATGGAAGCCTGCAGCCTGTGAGTAACAACAGAACTTTCTGCATATGGTTGGTAAAAGAGAATGAAGAAGTAAGGCAATATAGAAAGAAAAATGAGATGTGTTTGCCTTTATTTTGCCAGAGGAAACAAAAACAGAACTGCAGATGCCTGTGAGTGAACTAGCTGTGGTTAACTCTAGAGACAGTTTTCGGCTACTCATCTAAACAGTTAGATTAGCACCTAGTGGAGCCAGCTAGCAGTAGCAGAGAATGGAAGAGGATCCAGATAAATACCCACTACTCTATTGTAAAGTTTGATGCCTCAAAATGGCAAAGCACTCCGGTGAAGTCTTGCAAAGCTCTCAAATATTGAAGGATTTGCCCATAGTTTTACAAGAGCCAGTCCTTACATTGTCATGGCCTCACTTCCACTGTTACTTGCGCTTAACTTCAGGAATATTAGCAGTCCTGGCGATTTCAGTGAGAGTTTTCAGGAGCTCAGAGCTCAGCATGAACTCACTTGCTTTACTGGCTTTAACTCAAATCATCCGGCAGGATTGTCCTAGCTTCACTTATGAAATGGATTAAATGGACTCTGCTTAGGAAATAGCTCCCTCTCCTGTTCTTGCTGAAAACAGCCCAATCCACTGATGGAATCAAAACTATTTCAAAGCCCCTTAGCAGCGGAGTACAGTATTACAGTAAGTTGCACAAAACAGTGCACTGTGGTCAATCCCTTTTCAGAATAGTTTGTCCTTTTTTGCTGTCTCCACAAGTACGACATGAGCTTCGTAAGCGTCAGCAGGTCCAGCTAAAGGATCAAAGTTAGTACAAGTAATTTCTTGGTCAAAGACAGTCTTGGTAAAGAATTTCATCCAGCCCACCATGCCTTTACCACCACGAAAAGTCATAAATAATCTACTGAATATTCATTGATTAACAAAGAACAAGAATATGCTCATTCTTCTCAGTTTTGCTGGGGAGCTGTCAAAAGCCCACCGAACAGCCCACAGCTGTCAAAAGCTGTGTTCTCTACCAGAATTAATGCGGAGACTGAGCTAATAAACCACTCTGAAACTGGCAAAGGTGATGCGATGTGTTAGCCCTGCCCCAGATCTGCCAGACCATATGGAATCAGACCTAGGTGCTCCTGCTTCCAGAGTGACTTCCAAACTGGCTCTTTGCATCCATACTGAGTCATGCAAGACCTAAAAAATTCTTCTGGAACTAGAGACATCGAAGGTGGATCTGCAAGTGCCATTTTCAGGTCAGCAACAGTCAGACTTGTGTTGCTTGGGTTCGCCTATTATCTGTGATATCTCAGCTCTGCAGAACACTATGTAAGGGAGAGCCGATCTCTTGTGGATTTTGAGACCTAAGACTGTAGTACTCTTTAATCTCTACTCTTTTGCAGACAAGGTTTGCTAATACAGGTAAATAACTGCCTAAGGCTGGTGGCTGTTTTTGGTTGTTTTGGTTCCTGACAAGAAGCCTCTCCTATAGTTTCCTCATCTGCTAACTCCTGCAGCATCTAACATAAATGTGGAGCGACCCAGTGTATCATTTTTACTCATGATCTCAACAGGGCCTCTTTACACCGTGTCCCAAGATTTATAGCAAATCAAATAGGAAAATAAAAATAAGTAAAAAAAAAAAGCTCGTCCTTTTAGCACTTAAAAGAAAAAAAATCCTAGCCGTCAACACAGCTTTTAAATTTAGTATAATTTAGCTGTTCAATAGCTAAATGCTACTTTATGTCCCCCAACAGAGGATACTGGCAAGTGTCTTAGTTTATGCAGCAGCAAGTGACAAAACTCCAAACCATTTCTACCAATTATAACGCGTACTCACCTCTCACACAGGACCAACACTCAGGGCGCCTGAGCCCTATGTCTGACTTTATTACTGACCTGCTGTGTGGCTTTCGGTATCCACGTTTCCCTCCACCTGCTTCAGTTTTTCCATCTATAGTACGAGCAGAATGAAAGTCACTCCCTCCTTAAAGTTGTTTGAGAGCTGCTGATGAAAAGCACTAGATATGTAGTTGCTTTTCTTATGGTAAGTGTTGGTATGCACTGACAAGATACAAAGTCATCCTGCACCGCTCAAACCTACCGTGTCTTCAGCACTTCACAACTTCAGACTGGTTAAACCCTAATGGATGACTCAGCCTGAAGCATTTCAAAACCTAACCCACTATACTAGCTCCACTATGAGGATGGCTTTGACATGCTGTGATCTGGCTCCTGTTGCTTTAGCTTCCCTCAAATAAACAAAATCTCACACTTAAAATCTGGACAGATAAACTTCCACAAAGAAACGATGAAAAGAACTATGAGTAAAAGACAGAGAACAGTCAAAAATACGTATTTGGAGCTCATAGAAGGAGGCTCTCTAAATCTCTTATATCAATATGAAGCAATGCAGTACCACAAAAAAAAAATCGGAGTAAACTTTAAATAAAACACTGTGAGACACAGGAGAAGTGTGGCTACAGCATCACGGTGTGCAGGGATACTAATCGGGCCTAGTCGAAATGCTGCAATGACATGGGCTTCAAGGACTCAGTGCAGTCTCTGCGTGGTACAGCACTGTGCTGGTAGCTAAACCAGCTTCTTTGGGTATGATTGGGATATCTCAACACTGCTCTGCACTAAATCGTCTGGACATACCATGCACTTGGCTGATATTCTTTCATTTAGCTGTGTAAGTCTTAACTAATTATTCTCAGCTCCCTTTATAGGCAGTAAAGAGAAACTAACACCTCTAGGGTCTCTCCACTGACTAAGACGGGAGTGCTGGATAGTTGAGGATGTTAAAAGTTAATAGAATAAATATGAACACTTCTCTGCCTTTCAGTTTCTTCAGCTCTTCCAGCTACTTTCCCCCAGGGAGATTAGAGAGCAAATCTCAGTCATTCTTTGTCCTCCATTAGACTTTCTGAACCTTTCAGTGCAACGTTCTTATAAATATTCTTACCTGTGGCCTGATAACTGACTCTCATTTTTCTTGAGTGATCTTTCTCTCTTCTCTCTTCCAGTCCCTGAATGTCTGTGAGGAGCATTCGCTTTAAGGCTTTTTTCATTGCTGTCCATAGCAAAGCTCGGAATAGATTTTCTTTCTTCTGTCTTGGTCTTCCCTCTTTCAGACAGCAGTGTGGCAAAAGAGTCATCTGTATCTTTGCGGAAGCTTCTTAGTTTTTCAGAAGCTGAACTCATCTGTGAGCTTGACAAAGTCTTTGATGAAAATTCCGTATTTCCTTTCAAGGCACTATCACCGTGTGAAAAGAAGTAACTTGTGGATTGTGCTGAAGATCCTTTACTTTCTTGAAAATCAGTACTTGGGACACTGAGGTCATTTTTGTCATGTTCCTCACCCTTGAATTGTCCTGTGCTGCTTATGCTAATGGACCGTTTTGCAAGCCTCCTTTTTTGCAAATCCTAGAAATAAGTGCCATTAAAACCATAGAGTAAATTTCAAGCATCTTCAAATAAACATAAAAAGCAATGGAAAGCTCTATTACTAACTTCTGCACTAAACAATTTCCTCATTATTAGGAATTAGGTAAATAGTAAATTATATACAACTTTTAGATAACAAATAAGCACAGAAATATACTTCCACTTAAAATTTGAGCAGTACTAAAAATGCTTTAAATTGTTGTATGCCTTTATAAACTTCTTTCTTTCATCCAAGAGCATCAACAAAATACCTCAAAAAAACTTAATCTGGGGGTTGCACTCAATTCAGAGGAAATCAAGACTTACAAGATCTTTTACTAAAAAATCTCCCCATTACAAATATCTAGTCTTTATTTCTAAATAAAAGATCCTCAGACAAATCCAATTAATCCACTTAACTCCCATATTTTCTTCAGAATTATCTAAATTACATGCTTAAAATGTCTCAATTTCTCATTTTTGTAAGCGTAAATTTACACAGAGAACGTTTCTGTTTATATAAAATCATCATCAAGGAAAAAAAAAGGAGTAAATCTTACAATTGTTTCTTAAACACTTATTGATGGGGTATTGTAAAAAATGGAAACATTTCTTAACTGAGAGTAATTTTTGAACCACAAACTCCTACTGATCAAATGTGGGGTTTCAGAGAGGTCTGAGGAAATCAGGTACGCCTATCTAGGAAAACTTAGGAGGTGTTGGTACTGCTAAAGTGAAAAAGTAATTTCCAGAGGAAAATGGAAAATCCCAGCTGTCAAGAGATATGAGATAACAAAAATGGAAAACAAATTTATAGAGACATTCTTTAACTAAAGATCACAGATCTGCAGAGGGTGGTTGTGTGCTGGTCCTAGCGGTTGTTTCTCAAAGATTTAATTTGTAGAGTTGCTGCAACCACTGCCCTAACTTACCACATATTTACAGACTGCAGATTTAATGGGTTAACACGCAGAAGTCATTTTAATATTATTTGCAAATGACTTTGTTGCAGAAGTTTATACATAAAATTCATGGTCAATCCTGATATTCTGTAAGTGTTGGAAATCACCTCTGGTAAGCTTGCTATTGGTCCAGCCATCATTCCTCTGACAAGGAGACCAGACCTGGGCCTTTGCTTTTCCTTCACAGTGGCTTTCACCTCCTCAGAACTCGTTGCTGCTTTTAAATCCTCCCGACTATCTTTCAATTTTTTATCCCCATCAGAGAGTGAGTGGCTGTTGTATATGGTCCCTGTGTGGCATTTTTCACTTTTGCACTGATGTTTTCTGGATGGAAGGATTTTATCTAGTGAATCCTCAACATCGTATCTACAAGTAAGAAAAAGAAGTAAAACTTCAAACAGTAAAATGATACACAATGAAACCTAGGAAAACAGCTGCTTGGCTAATTAAAGCACTGTTGTCAAGTTAAGTCCCTTCTTATCTATTGATGGTACTCAAATATGATCACTTTTCACTTCAACATCTATACATATGTTTTCAGGACACCATTTCAATTTCATCATTATGCCTCACAATTAGTTATAGTATGTGTAATACTTTAATCTTACGCTTACGTTTTATACACACGATATCATAACAGAAAAAGTAAACCGTATGTAGCAAGTCAGATAGTTTCTAAGCTACCATCAAGCACTATTCCCATTCCTTCTCCATCTGCATGATTGGTAATTTGAAAACTGTTTTAACAATTTTTGCTAACATCCTGTGTTATCATATAACTTAGACTGATTCTATTGATCCCTTTCATGCTTTGTTGAAATGTGGAGCATCCATTTTAGATCAGAAAGGTTCATTTTTTTATTTCGTCTCTTCCAGGATAATAGGTTGCTACATTGCCGTCATGTGACCTTTTCAATGTTTATATAAGTCACTCTTTGTATCTACTTTCCTACACATATATAATTCTATAAACCAGCTTTTCCAAAATGCAAGCATGATTTATCTGGGTCTCTGATTCTTTCTGCATAACACTGTACAAGATTCTTTCTCAAAAATAACCTTTTACAAATCTTGTTCTTACTAAAAAAAAATCATTTGTGCCTTGTTAATATATCCTATTAGAAACCATTCAGAATTAGATTTTCTTCATCAGCATCTCTTTCAATAGCTGCATAACCTAAGACCACTATTAAATGGAAGTTCTTACATTGACTTGCTCCTACTTCACGGAGACCTATTTCCTGTCATCTTAGAAACACAATGTATATTTTCAGAAACCCTAAATTTATGGCTTCAAGATAACTGTCCTTTATTTTTTTTTTTTTCATTGTAGGGTATTTTTCCCTATCCTATTCTACATTAAAACAATTCCATGAGTTGAAGTATCTTGTATCTCAAAAATATTCCTTTTATCCAATCAACTGAATTTTTTTCAAAGGACTATGTCCTGTGCTATGAAGACAGGCCTCGTGTAAACCAAAGAGAGAATGATCAATCTCTGAGAGCGCTAGAAAATCTGAGGACCGTTATTCCTGACCTAGGCCCATACAATTCCTTGTTGCCAAAGGGCACAGTGTGTCATAAAGTGGCCATTTTAAGTTAGAGACTTTCAAAAAACATAGAGTGGTCAGCTAAAAGGATAGAGATGAAAGTTACACTCTTTAAGTAAGGTCCTGGCAAACTTAATCTAATTATTGGCCTGTATAGTCTCCGCTCCTGCAAGCACTGTTAAAAATTATCCCGGTAGTTGAAGTAAATAAAAACTAATTTCAGGCACTGGTTGCTTGACACAGTAATGCCTAATTTCCCCTTGGCCAGAGAGGGCTGAAATAGCGAGGAGGATCACAGAACCATGCTTCTGCCATAGTGTTTCTCTCACTGATTTATTTTATGGGCAATACGAGGAAGCGGATAGCCAGCCCGGCAATCCATCTACGATATTCCTCGCTACAACAGCCTTGTAGCTTCTTCCCCTTGCCAAACTGTGGGCCACAAGCGCTGTTGAACTGCATGGCTACCACAAGATCTGATCCACGGAAATAATGAAGCCACCTGTCCAGGATGCTCTGTCCTCCTCTATCGTTGAGGAATCTGGGGCTCCGACGTAGACTTTCTTACCTGCGTTGCTCAGAACATGCTTAAAGGTACCCAGGAAGAGAAACCAAAGCTCTGGCTTTATGAAAAGGAGACCATATATGGTGAGCATATTCTTCAATGCATAGCGCCAGTGGCAGATTAGAGAAGAAAGTTTTCTTGACAAATTTATGTTTGAAGGTTAGATTCTTAGCTGATATAAAATTAAAAAGCATTGTCATAAGGACCGAGATATGGGATCCACCTCACTAAGCAGGGCATGAGTCTTTGCCAACAGATTGGCCAGCCTGGTAAGGAGGGCTTTAAACTAGGCAAGATGAGAGAAGGGGAGTGCTATAGAGACAGGGTAATCAGTAAAACTCCGCTCAAGTCAGGATGCCTCCAGCGGGTGCATACAGCCAGGGGAGTGCGTAGGGAATATGGCTATGGAGGATCCTCTTGCACCTCTTCTGGGAAGCTTGCATGCTTGACTGGCTCTCTGAAATGCCTGTACACCAATGCACGCAGCATGGGGAATAAGCAGGAAGAATTAAGAGATCTGTGTGCGGTCGCTGGACCATGATCTCATTGCCGTTACAGACATGGTGGGATAGTTCACATGACTGGGATGCTGTCATGGATGGCTACGTGCTTTTTAGGAAAGACAGGCCAGGAAGGCGAGGTGGTGGAGTTGCCCTTTAGGTGAGGGAGCAACTAGAATGTGTGGAGCTCTGCCTCGGGGTGGATGAAGAGCAAGTTGAGAGCCTATGGGTCAGGATTAAAGGGCAGGGTAACATGGGTGACACGGTTGTGGGGGGTTTGCTACAGGCCACCTGATCAGGAAGAAGTCGTCGATGAGGCCTTCTGCAGACAGCTGGAAGCAGCCTCACGATCACAGGCCCTGGTTCTCCTGGGGGACTTCAACCACCCTGACATCTGCTGGGAAGGGAGCACAGCTAGACACACACAGTTGAGGAGGTTCCTGCAGAGCATTGAGGATAACTTTTTGACACGGGTGGTGGAGAAGCCAAGGAAGAGAGGTGCGCTGCTGGACCTTGTATGTGAAGGTTGGGGCTGCAGCGACCTGGTGCTTGATAACCGTGCAAAATCGGTGCAAAATCACCCAGGCTTTAAAAGGGAGGCTGCAAGTCAGTACTAGATTTTGACTCCTGAACTTTCACACACGAAAAGGGTCAGACGTTTCTTCTCTTCACGCTCGCACTGTGCTGTAACCTGCCATTTTTGGCTCTCCGCGCTCCACTCCCTGCGGCTCCACAGGGAAGCGCCTCGCCGCGGGCACCGCGCCGCCATCGCTGCGCCACCCTCCCTCCCCCCCCCCTC